CCCACGATGGGTAGAGAATTTATTAAAGGGATTTTAATTGGATACGATTATGGTGGATATCTTATCTGGAACCTGCAAAAGAAAACCATTATTAGGTCAAGAAATACCGTTTTTCTCAGGTCCTGGAGGTCCCTTTCTGTCTAAGTGGTGCCTGTGTTCTTGACTTCAAGATTTTCTAAGTTTGGCATCCCTTGTAGTTTTCCGGATGATTTAGATGGCATAGTGCGCACACAGCTGGAGTTTACCAACACTTAGTGCATTCCTCAGATCTGTGTTGCTTTTTTTTTTTTTTTTTTTTTTTTAATTTGTTTTCCACCCTTCCATGCCACCAGGGCAACACGGGTGTATGCAGTTGTGTGATGTTAAGCATTAATGCATAATAACACACTACTGCCATAATATCGATTTACAAAATTCTAAGCTGTGCACACAGCTAGCTCTTCTACTTTCCCTCATTCTTCAGCAAATGAGGGAAAGTAAAAGAGCTAGCTGTCAAGATCTGTGTTGCTGTCCTCTCACACATCGAGGTAAGCGGTGGCAGTAGCTTCTAGTGTGGCCATAAGATTGACAACTATGGTATTGTACTATTTCACTTTTTGTGTATGGTTTTTCAACCATTATACTGGTATAGTACATACGGGTTAGTTTATAAATGTTATCGACCCCTGGAGTGCGTTCCAGGTCTATAAAAATAGTGGTAGCGCTTATTCGTTATTTGTACCCGGTTGTTTTTTTTTCTTTTATAGATGTTAACGATTTGGCGGACATCGAAATCTAAAGCATCAATTCTTCTTTGATTTCATTGGGTAGTTGAAGGGTGTATGCCTCTTATCACGACTCTTAGTGCTCTCTCTTTGTACAGCTGGCACGTGTAAAATTCAGTCTTTGACTCTGGAAAGTATTTGACAATGTTTTAATATATTTTCGGAGAATCCAGCATTAATTTGGTGTCATTGGTTCTACTGTGGCATATATATTTACCGTTTTCAATTATTTTATTAAGGTGCTGGCAGAATAATGGACAATTATTAATATTTCAAACAAATATTGGATGTGGTTTGGGCTCTCAGGGAGTTGGTGCTGCTTCCATTGTTTTTTCTGACGATAGTAGCTGTTGAGTCTTGCGGATGAAAAATTGAGATTCATCAGCTGTTTGGGTCGAAAAACAAAGTTGCAGATCATTATTGATTTCAATTGGTCTATCAGATGTTAATGGTGGTGTTTTTCTATTGGAACGCCTTGACCTTTGTTTTACAGGAGAGTTTTGAGAGCTATTATTACCTAAGCTTCTCAATCGTTTAACTTTGTTCAACATTATCATATGATAATATCGCATTTATGAAGATCTGACTGAAAAAATATTTTAAATAGTCTGATGCGTAAAAAAAAAAAAAATACATAGACCGGTGGAGCGCAGAGTGAAGCGTGCCCACCTCACCAGTCAGCCAGCTACTGGCTGCCGGCTGAGTGGGGGATAGTTATGTATATATGGTAGATAATCTATCCAACTATATCTATTGTTGTTAGGACTGTTAAATAAACTTGATAAACAAGTGATTTCTAAACGTGATTATGTTTATTTGATGAACGAATTGTTAATTGGTCAAATATCACTGTCTCTAATCACTATGGTTCACTAATTCACTAGTAATTTAATCACTTGTGGAAGACGAAATAACTTATGATATGTAAGAAATTAGCGCATGGGCAAGACTCTCACAATAATTATGTTAGAATCATTTTTCTAAGAAATCAACCGAAATGCAATAAAAACTAAGGCGAGATGTATGATAATGCATTTAATTTAGTACAAATTAAAACTTACGAATAAAATAACGTTCAAGTTCTTCTTCAGTATTAGGTTTAGTAGCAGTCATTGTTTTATGATTTTTCCGTCGACCACCATTCCTATCCCAGTTATGAAATCTTTGACGGCCTCCTGTGAAAATACAAATAACGACTGAAAAATTAAAAAAAATGTTTGAAAAGAAAAGGTCAATGAAAGGATTTCACTTTCAAGATTAGAATCAATTAATAATATCTGAAAAGTAAGATAAAAAATCACACTAACAATTAGCCCAATTCAATTAAATTCCCATTATTTTCATGAGCGGATTAAATATTATGGATAGTCAATTAAAACCTCATAACTCCAAGTTCTGCGCAAGCGCTTGATTTGAATGCCCACATTTCACGTCGTGTCCCACAGTTCTTCTATTTTTTAGAAAAATAAGTGCTCAGTAATACTTAAAAAAACTGCTTAGGCTGTCATGTAAACAACAGCAACAAAAATGGACTAACACCACAGTGAGTAGTGTTGAGATTTACTGTGTACTATTACTGACATCGAAGGAAGTGAATTAGCGTCTGTAGGCTTTTAAATTGTTTTTATTTTTAAACTAATTTTTGAAAAATATTACAATCTGTCTCTAGGACATTTATAATAGAGTTCACAGATCACATTCACACTCTACGTACAATAAATAAAATAAATTATACATAAAAATAATATTTATACAATAAATAAGAATAAAATAACCTAAAAATAAATAAATAAAAAGAACACATACACACCTATATACAATATTTACAATTTGGCGAGAGAACTCTAAACCAGACTTGTCCCTCCAACTGTGGAGGGAAAAGTATGACTCCAGGAGTTCCTTGCACTCCTCTCTCAACCGCGTCACTAGGGCTAAACCCAGTGGAGATTGAGCAAGATAGCTTTAGCATATCAAACTGGGATCTTTTCCGCCAAATAATCTCCGATAATATTGGTCTCAACATATCCCTCAAAACTCCCGATGACCTTGATAGTGCCGTAAATTCCACCTTGAATTAGCCACCTTCAGATCACAATCCTTCAACTCCTACCTATCCTCCCTCTCTTCTCGCGACAATTCCCTTTGGAAAACCATAACAAAAATCCTAAATCCTCACCGCATTTCCCATCCCCTCCGACGAGGTGATGGCTCCTGGGCAGCATCTGACGAAGATAAAGCTGAGGAGTTCGCCATTCACCTATCCAATACATTTATTTCACATCCGGAATCCTATACTGCCCACACCGTAACAGTAGAAGAGCTCCTTTCATCACCAAGCCCACTTTCCTTGCCCCCAAAAGCTATTCATCCTTCCGAAGTAAAATTTCAATTAAAAAAACTAATCCCCCGCAAAGCTCCTGGACATGATCTCCTTACACCTTAAATCCTTCGACAACTTCCATCCAAAGCAGTCATATTCCTTACATATATCTGCAATTGTATCCTACTCACCACCCACTTCCCTCTGTTATGGAAACACTCCACTATTATCCTTTTCCCGAAACCAGGCAAACCTCCCAATAGCTCAACATCCTATAGACCAATCAGCCTACTCCCAATCATTTCAAAAAATTTTGAAAAGATCCTTTTGAAACGAATCCTACCCATTATAGAATCCCAAAATATTCCTTCCCATCAGTTTGGTTTTCGCTCTCAACATTCTACTGTTCAACAAGGACTCCGAGTTGTTGATCATATTTCCTTAGCCATAGAAAACAAGGAATACTGTTCGGGTGCCTTTCTGATCATTGCACAGGCATTTGACCGGGTATGGCACCCCGGACTGCTCTCCAAGCTTAATAAAATCCATTTACCTCAGTCCTTGTACCTAGTTCTCCGATCCTACCTCTCTGACCGCTACTTTCGAGTTCGCTGTGGAACAGAATTTTCCAATATCTTCTCCGTTAAAGCCAGTGTTCCCCAAGGCAGCGTCTTGGGTCCCGTGCTTTACATCCTCTTTACTGCTGACATCCCTGTTCATCCCGATACTTTTCTTGCAACATTCGCTGACGACACCGCAATCTTATCATCCAACTCCGATCCCGAAATAGCATCCTAAAATCTCCAAAGCCACCTCACCTTGATTGAGCACTGGTGTAATAACTGGAACATTAAAGTTAATGAATCTAAATGCCAACACATTACCTTTACACCCCGACGCAATTCCTGTCCACCAGTACTCTTTAATTCCATCCAGCTTCCTTACTCAGACACAGTCCGGTATCTTGGCTTTCATTTAGACCGAAGACTAACTTGGAACCCGCATACTAGACTCAAAAGACAAGAACTCAACCGACGATACGGCCAACTATACCGACTACTAAGCAGAAAATCTAAACTTTCCATTGAAAACAAGCTACTGATCTACAAGACAATACTGAAACCTATTTGGACTTAAGGACTAGAACTGTGGGGAGCAGCAAAATTTTTTAACATCAAGCACATCCAATCCTTCCAGTCTAAAGTACTTCGAACAATAGTCGATGCTCCTTTCTATGTAACCAACAAAACTCTACATCATGACCTCAACATCCCATTTGTCCTAGACCTTATCCCAGAAAAATTCTCCAAATTTCACCAGAACCTTACTTACCACCTAAATCCTCTTGCACAATCCCTATCAAGCACGTCCCATCCCTATAATCCTCCAAGAAGGTTAAAACGGCAGTGGCCTCGCGACCTTTTGTAGATTGTATAAATTGGAGTTCTGGCAATGACCAGATTCTTCACTCAAGACATGAGTGTATGTGGCTAAAGTGCTCTCGACCAATCTCCGCTGGCTTTAGTACCAGTGACGCGGTTGGGAGAGTAGCGCATCGTTCTCTTGGAGTTCCCTCGCCTGATTGTATATAGGTATGCATGTGTTTTTTTTCTTAGTTTTATTTTTTTTATTTTTTAGGTTATTTTATTTTATTGTCTATTGTATATACTTTTGATTATTATTTTGTTCTATTTATTTTATTTTTTTGTACATATAGTGTGAATGTCATCCTACCTCACTATAACCAATGTCCAACAGACAGATTGTTATAATAAAAAAAAAATAAAAAAAATATATATAATTTCAGGAAATCATTTTTTGTATTTATTCCGTAATTTAGATACAAACAGACTTTCATCAACTAAAGTAATGCATAATAACACAAACAACTACCGTACTGAAGTAGTTTTACTGACCTTTTATTTGTTTTGTTGATTCCTTGTTTTTAACTGAATGTGCCTTGTCAGAAGACGTCGTCAACTTTCCCTTTGTACGACCGTGTTTCCAAAATTTAAATCCTAAAAAAGATCTCGTCGTAGTATTCTGATGGGTACCATCTGAAATCAAATTGTTACTTTTATTAAATGTTTTTGTTAATTATGATTAAGGCCAAGATTTCAATACAAATGATTTTCTTCATCAAAATAACCTTTTCGCATTTTACACTTGTCCATTTTATTATAATCATTTAATTATATTTCATATTTATCCTAAGCCATATTCTTAATAATTTAATTTCTTTCAAACATATAAAATAATGTTCCATATGTTGCTTGTTATATATATATATATATATTTTTTTTTTATTGAAATATATTACAATCTGTCTCAGGGACATTAATAATAGTGTTCACAGATCACATTCACACTCTATGTACAGTAAATAAAATAAATTATACAGAAAAATAATATATATACAATAAACAAGAATAAAATATCCTAAAAATAAATAAATAAAAAGAACACATGCACACCTATATACAATATTTACAACTTGGCGAGAGAACTCCAAACCAGACTTGTCCCTCCAACTGTGGAGGGAAAAGTATGACTCCAGGAGCTCCCTGCACTCCTCTCTCAACCGCGTCACTAGGGCTAAACCCAGTGGAGATTGAGCAAGAGTGATTTAGCCACATACACTCATGTCATGAGTGGAGAATCTGGCCAATGCCAGAACTCCAATATTTACAAACTATAAAAGATCGCGGGGCCACTGCCGTTTTAACCTCCTTGGAGAATTATATGGATGGGTGGTGCTGGATAGAGATTTTGCAAATCGATTTGGATGATGGGTAAGGTTCTGGTGGAATTTGGAGAATTTTGCTGGGATAAGGTCTAGGACAAATGGGATATTAAGGTCATGGTGTAGGGTTTTGTTGGTTACATAGAAAGGAGCATTGGCTATTGTTCGAAGGACTTTTGATTGGAAGGATTGGATGTGTTTGATGTTAGTAAATTTTGCTGTTCCCCACAGTTCAAGTCCGTAAGTCCAGATAGGTTTCAGTATTGTCTTGTAGATCAGTAACTTGTTTTCAATGGAAAGTTTTGATTTTCTGTTTAGTAGCCGGTATAGTTGTCGGTATTGTCGGTTTAGTTCCTGTCTTTTAAGTCTAGTATGAGGGTTCCACGTTAGTCGTTTGTCTAGGAGAAAGCCAAGGTACCGGACTGTGCCCGAGAAAGGAAGCTGAATGGAATTAAAGTGTACTGGTTGACAGGAACTGCGTCCGAGCGTGAAGGTGATATGTTGGCATTTGGATTCGTTTACTTCAATTCGCCATTTATTACACCACTGCTCAATCAGGGAGAGATGTCTTTGAAGGTTTAAGGATGCTATATCAGGATCTGAGTCGGATGATAGAATGGCGGTGTCATCAGCAAAAGTTGCCAGGAAGGTATTGGGATAGACAGGGATATCAGCGGTAAAGAGGATGTAAAGGACGGGACCCAATACGCTACCTTAAGGAACACCTGCCTCAATTGGATAGCAGTTCGACAATTCACTACCGCAGCGAACTCGGAAGGTACGATCTGAGAGGTAGGAACGGAGGACAAGCTACAAGGACTGAGGAAGATAGGTTTTCAGCTTGGAAAGAAGCCTGGCGTGCCATACCCGGTCAAAAGCTTGAGCTATGTCCAGAAATGCACCCGAGCAATATTGCTGGCTTTCCAATGCTGCGGAAATATGATCGACCACTCGGAGTCCTTGTTGGACTGTGGAGTGTTGTGAACGGAATCCGAACCGATGTGAAGGAAAGTTTTGGGATTCTATAAAGGGTAGGATTCGTTTAAGGAGGATCTTTTCAAAGATGTTTGAGAGAATCGGAAGTAGGCTAATTGGTCTGTAGGACGTTGAGGTGTTGGGAGGTTTGCCTGGTTTCGGAAACAGGATAATAGTGGAATGTTTCCACAAGAGAGGAAAGTGGGTGGTTCTTAGGATGGCATTATATAAGTAGGTGAGAAATATAACAGCCTTAGGAGGAAGTTGTCGAAGAATTTGAGAGGTAAGGAGGTCGTATCCAGGAGATTTACGGAGAGGAAGTTTTTGTAAGTGATGTTTGACCTCAGAAGGATTAACTGCTTTAGGTGGCAAGGAAAGTGGAATGGGTGATGTAAGGAATTCTTCTACTGTTGTGGTATGGGTGAGGTTGGATTCCGGATGAGAGGTAAATGTTCTGGAGAGGTGTCTGGCGAATTCCTCAGCTTTATCTTCATCAGACGCTGCCCAGGAGCCATCGCTTCGACGGAGGGGATGGGAAAGATGATGGGATTTTAGGATTTTGTTGGTCATCTTCCATAGGGAATTGTCATGAGCAGAGAGGGAAGTAAGGTAGGAGTTGAAGGATTGGGATTTGAAGGTGGCCAATTCCTGCTTTAATTGTTTACTGTAAAAATTATAGGAGCGACGATCGATGGGGTGTCTTGTACGTTGCCATAATAATCTGGCGCGGCGTTTGGTATGGATTAGGTCTATGAGGTGTTGAGGTAACTTATTTTTCTTGGGAGTTCTTGAGGAGTGGTTTGGAGAGGAAGCAGTCCAGATTGCTTGTTGGATAGAGGTGGTGAAAAGGTGTACGGCATTGTCAAGGTCATCTGGGGTTTTTAGGATTATTCTGAGATCAATTTTATCGGATAGGATTTGGTGATAGAGTTTCCAATTAACTGGGCCTCTGATAAAGGACGGTGGAGAAGACTTAGGAATAGGAGCAAGAGATAATTGGAGTAATAATGGACTGTGATCTGAGGATAGTTCGGCAAGACGGGTAAGGGAATGATTGAGGGGACCTAAGCCACTGTGGATGAAAAAAATCAAGGATATCGGGATTGACACTCGGGATTGTGATATTAAATATTTTTTTTATATAATTTCAGGAAATCTTTTTTTTTTTTTATTCCGTAATTTAGAAACAAGCAGACTTTCATCAATTAAGTAATGCATAATAACACAAACAACTACCGTAATGAAGTAGTTTTACTGACCTTTTATTTGTTTTGTTGATTCCTTGTTTTTAACTGAATGTGCCTTGTCAGAAGACGTCGTCAACTTTCCCTTTGTACGACCGTGTTTCCAAAATTTAAATCCTAAAAAAGATCTCGTCGTAGTATTCTGATGGGTACCATCTGAAATCAAATTGTTACTGTCATTAAATGTTTTTGTTACTTATAATTAAGGCCAAGATTTCAGTACAAATGATTTTCTTCATTTTTTCAAAATAACCTTTTCGCATTTTACATTTGTCCATTTTATTATAATCATTTAATTATATTTCATATTTATCCTAAGCCATATTCTTAATAATTGAATTTCTTTCAAACATATAAAAAAAAATGTTCCATATGTTGCTTGTTACATTAAATATTTTTTTTATATAATTTCAGGAAATCTTTTTTTTTTTATTCCGTAATTTAGAAACAAGCAGACTTTTATCAACTAAAGTAATGCATAATAATACAAACAACTACCGTAATGAAGTAGTTTTACTGACCTTTTATTTGTTTTGTTGATTCCTTGTCTTTAACTGAATGTGCCTTGTCAGAAGACGTCGTCAACTTTCCCTTTGTACGACCGTGTTTCCAAAATTTAAATCCTAAAAAAGATCTTGTAGTAGTATTCTGATTGGTACCATCTGAAATCAAATTGTTATTGTCACTAAATGATTTTGTTACTTATAATTAAGGCCTAGATTTCAATACCAATGATTTTCATCATCTTTTCAAAATAAGCTTTTGGCATTTTACATTTGTCCAACATTTTATTATATTTTATATTTAAGCTTAGCCATTTTTTAGCCATAATAACTGAATCTATTTCAAACATAAAATAATAAAAACAAATAATTCATTAGTTCAGAAGTTGATTGCTATAATTGTTAATTTTGTAAGAATTCATTTTTATTCTGTAGTCCATTGAGAAACAGGTTTTCTTCATCTAAATTAATGCTTGGTATTAATTATCAGCTACCACAAAAAAGTATTTTTACTCACCTATATTTTTTTTTGCTGATTCTTTGTTTCCATTTGTATGTGTCTTATAAGTTGTTTGATTGTATTTTGCGCCACCTGAAATCAATTTGTTATTATTATTAAATATTTGTGTTACTTATAGCTAAGTCATAGATCTCTTTACAAATAATTTTGCATCATTTTTTTTTAAAGAAATCGATTTACTAATCAAGTCATTCCTCAATCTTTCACCGATTTTTATATTGTATATTTGGCTAAACTTTGTTTAATTTACAGAGCTAGGCTTAATAAAATAATCTGAATTTCTTTCCGGAATGAATTAGTTATTGAATTTGTTTATGTCAATTTTCAACTCAATTAATTACGTTATAAAATTTTTCAAAAGTTTTGGTTTTGATTTTGTTTTGTAATTTTGTTCATCCTCGATTGATTATGCATATTTCAATTAAAAGCTGTTTTTAAATGTAGTTAAGCTGAATTAGGTATGAAACCAACTTAGTAATAAAATGAATAGAGAATGGAAAGTGAACATATTATGATTTAATCGTTCAAAAGAAGCTATTTGAAACGTTCTGATGGTAACTCGGATGACTTTTATGTTTCATTTTCTGATGAACCAGAGTGGGTCTGATCGTCTGAATAGGCGTGATTCGACGGACTCAAGTCATTAATCCGAGTTTTGCTCAATACACTCTGTTTTTTTTTTAAACAACGTGATTATCACGTATTATCAATGCCTCCTAAGGGGGGCATATTAATATCTTAATTTTTTCAGGCATTTTTCGGGAAGTTTATTGCTTTAATATTTTCAATATCTTTAGCATAATGAATACCAAACCTTAAATAATACTCTTTATATTTAAGCAATTAAATTGTTTTAGAATATAAATAATAATCTATTTTCCAGCGATATTGTTTTCGGCTTAGAACTTATTTTCATTACTCGTATAAATGTGGTTGTTCTTGTTAATGTTATTTATTTAATGAGCAGCGTAATATGAAAGATAGACACTTATTTAATTACTTCCTCAAAAATAAATTTTTGGCAAAAATTAATTAGCTTATCACTTTAACTATAAATCGTTTCCGTGTAAGATTTAACCTTAAATAATATCCTGTGTATTGTTTTTGAATTTTAGCTAATCATATATTCAAAAACAAGCCCCACGAATATTCATGATATTTATTCTCCCACGACGTTGTTTTCTGCTTAAAACTCATTCTCATTGCCCGTATAAATTCCAATATACATTTTTTTATATTGTATTGAATTTATTTTACTAAGATATAAATTATTTGGAAAATACTCATTCGTATTACATTCATTTTTTTCTGGATAACTCGTTGCATTGTTGATCTTTCTTTGTTCTTCTGGGAATTGGATGTCTCGATGATTGCCAAAAAAGAGAAAAGGACCTGTGGAAATATAAATTATGAATAATGAAACGGAGTGGAAAATTATAATGTAATTTAATGATTGATAACATGTTTTACAATTTTCTTTTAATATGTGTACATTTTCTCCAAATCCTGAATAACGGTAAGAAAATAATAATTTTTTCAACTTTATCTTAAAGAGTTGATTGGTTTTTACTCTTTTAAGTTTTTTCTTTTAATTAAAGAAAACCTAATTGTATTTATTTTGTATATTAATGTTTAGCTGCGCTACCATAATAATTCGTGGTACAGACCCCTTTTTATCAAATTATTTACATCCGCTTAAACCAATTAAATAGCTTCATGTTGTCTTACCAGAGAAATCTTTTATCTGTGAAAATTCTCAGAAACGTGGAGTTTTACAATTTATTTAATTAGATACTAAATAATAAATAAATACACATTTTCTCTCCACTTGAATCTTAAGATAATTTGATCACAAGATCGAGAAAAAAATGTGGTCTGCAAAAATATTAGGCCGGTTGGCCTATTTAACCTCGTTATTTTGACATGTTGGGTGTGGAGACCACGCCAAGTTGGCCACCTTTATTCTCGATTGTGTGACAAAATTATATTACAATTTAAGGGTAAGGCAAATGGGTGTTAATGAGTATTTAGTACCTATTTAAATAGAAAAAGTTTGCCGATCTCCAATTCCGAGAGTTTTCGCAAATAAAATTGTTATAGGTTACAATATGATAAAGCCATTCACGAAATTTTAGGCGGATGTTAATAACTTGATAAAAAAGAGTAGGTAGCACGGTCTGTAACTGATTTTCTTGGTGACGCCATATAAAGGAAAAGTAACATTGCTGGCTCAGAATATTTAAATGGTTCGTAATATTTAAACTATAAATAACTTTCTTAAGATATAAATATTTAATTATTATATTGTTTGAAGGTGTACATATTTTAATCTACTATAATAACTAGATATTGGATTTCTATGTTATTTTAATGAATTCCAAAACCAATTAAATGGATTGTATTTGCACGTTTTTAAAAGTTAAATAAACCTATATCTTTTTATTGTTTTTATTACACGATTTCACAATTATTTGATTAGTCCCTAATTATAATCTTCATTATTTTTTAGCCATAGATGTAGTCAGGGCCTGTTTATAAAGTTTTGTCGAGGTATATAAAGCAAGGGCAGTATATGCAAGTTATCAAAAGGCCTCGACAGTGCGTGTTCAGTATTAAAGGGTTAAGATGATTGAATGGTTGAAGGAAGGTGTAAAGATGTATGGCTTCGAGTGACAGGCGGATCAGCACCCAATCACTCTCGGCTGGCGGTGTAAGGGATCAGCCTTAACATTCCGCAAGGATGGTAACCACAACCAGAGAGATCAAACTCCGGACTTGTGGGAGGATGAAATACTGACGGAGGGATCAATCTCCAGACTCAGCATATAGGACTGCAAGCGGACGGATCAGCGTCCATCTTGCATGGAAATAGAGAAGAGGATAAAGATAAAAGGATGTTGTTAAATAAGAAGAGCAGACTAGAAGAGCTCCGTAGAACTGACAACTTGAGGTTTGACTGGGGTATTCATTCCGCCAAGACCAACCCGGCTATCAAGAGTTACTATAACAGTTATTTTGAGCTTTAGTCAGTATATGTTATCGCCATTAAAATTTATTAACAAAAAATATTTGCAATGAATATGCATATTTCAATTTACAATTTAAGTATTTTATAATACAACAATATTTTTTTTTTTTTTTACTCTTTAATCTATTTATTGAATAATAATACATGCAGCCACTGCTGGAGGGCTATAAGCATTAGGGCTAAAAGTTCTCATTCATACAATATATACAAATAATAAAGAAATAAATATAAATATAAGAAGTAAATAAATAATACTGATGAAGAAGATAAATAAAAAGAAAAGAAAAAAATAATAATAATAAACAAATAAAATAAAATAAAAACTTCTAAACACAATCATAACTATATACAATATATACATTCGCCCAAGAATCTCCGAACCAGGCTTTTTCCCCCACACGTGGAAGGCAAAGCAAGACTCCGGAAGATCCCAGCGCCACTTTTCCAGCCGCATCACTAGTATTAGAAGCCAGTGGAGACTGGAAGAGGGCACTAGAGCCACAGACGCTCAGGACATGAGTGGAGAAGCTGGCCATTGCCAGGACTCCAAAGGCATATTTACAAAAGATCTCGAGGCCACTGCCGTTTCAACCTTCGAGGGGGATGGTATGGATGCTCGGAGCTGGATAGGGATTGGGCTAGAGGATTGGGATGATGTATGAGGTTCTGGTGAAAGTTGGAGAATCTGGATGGGATGATGTCATGGACATATGGGATGTTAAGGTCATGGTGTAGGGTCTTGTTCGTGACATAATATGGAGCATTGACTATTGTTCGAAGGACTTTAGACTGGAAGGATTGGATGCGTTTGATATTCGATGATTTAGTTGTCCCCCACAGCTCAAGTCCGTAGGTCCAGATAGGTTTCAGTATGGTCTTGTAGATTAATAATTTGTTTTCTGTTGAGAGATGAGATGTTCTGTTTAGTAGTCTATATAGCTGACCAAATCGTCGGTTAAGCTCTTGTCTTTTAAGTCTCGTATGTGGGTTCCAAGTCAGTCTTTTGTCCAGAAGGAAGCCAAGGTATCGGACTGTGTCTGAGTAGGGAAGAGGAATTGAATTAAAAAGGATTGGAGGACAGGATCTGCGTCGAAGAGTGAAAGTT